AGGGAAAGAATGGGTGAATTAGTAACTTGCTTACCAAGGAATCTTCCTTGATGGGATGAAGTGGGGTGTTTCCAAGAAATTTTTATTTTTCTCAAATTAAGAAAGAAAAGAAGAACTGAGAGCTCATACTTAACAACAAAAAGGTATTAAGTACTACTGGTCATTCCCAATTATTTTACGTTCTACACAACTGGAAATCATTGGTAGCACTTAGTACCGTTTTGTTAAGTGTGAGCAACTACTTGTTAATTTTGTTTCACTATATTTTCATATGTAAGGTGAATTTACTTTGATAAATTCTATTTACTCTCACCTGGGGATAGAAATGCTATGATTTTACTCTTTTTGCTTATTAAAATTATTTTTAAAGATGTCTAAACACTCTCAATTCACAGGAGCTAGAGCAAAGTGGAAATAATTTAAGTATTATTTCTAAGACTAAGTGGCTATCACCGATAATAAGAATCTGAATTTCACCTGTCATTATTTGGTAGATGAGCTAGTCCTCTAAGGTAAATCTATTTTATTTTTGCTGATTTATCACAAATTGTTATTTTTTTAAAGAGGCCAAACATGGTGGCAGTTCTAGCCCCAAAGCCGATGTGCATGATGAAAGTACCTGAAAAAGAATACCACTGTGGTTACACTTGACTACACAGCAAGCGAATAGTGCTTGGGGCACTTCCTACAGGGTGCATCCTCTTGGAACCAGTGGCTTCTTTTCACCATAACAAACCCAATGTAGATCAAATTAAAAGGGCTAGCTTGGGTGCAGCACCACAGTGCCCTTTCTTGGGGATCTCTGTCAAACACAGAAGTGGTATCATCACAAATACACTCTGGATTTGACAAAGTTTCATAGGAACTGATTGATTTGTCTCCGAATGGACTTTGTTGGTGTTAAAACAGGTCTTAATTAAAATATACCTCTATGGTTTCAATCCTTTGGAAAGGTGGCTCACGAGCATGGTGTGCATAAGGGTTTTATTTACCTGATTTTGCAAGAGCTGAGGCAGGAAACAAAGTTTTGTATATTCAGTGAAATAGCCGCAATATTGGAAATTGAGTTTGAGTATGAAAAGTTTATAATTTGTATCTCCAGTTGTTCAAATTATGTATCTATCACAAAATAGAGATACTTCTCTCATGATTTCTGAGCCTTTTCTATAGAAATTAAATTTAAAAATGAACATGAAAACAGCTTAATTTGTAATTTCTTATGGAAGCTAATTAAATTTCCTTGTATCAACAAAAATGGTGAAAACTATAATCTATTCACGCCTTTCTAGAATTACAGCTGCATAGCCCTGGTAAAAATTAGGGAATAAACTGGTATTATGATAAGTGACTTTAAGATCTGTGTTCATGGGGCGCCTGGGTGGCTCAGATGGTTAAGCGTCTGCCTTCGGCTCAGGTCATGATCCCAGGGTCCTGGGATCGAGTTCCGCATCAGGCTCCCTGCTCCTTGGGAGCCTGCTTCTCCCTCTGTCTCTCTCTCTCTCTCTCTGTCTCTCATGAATAAATAAATAAAAAGTTTTTTAAAAAAAGATCTGTGTTCATGGCAGTAAAAATAAAACAATAATTAAATCATTCTTCTTGACGAAGAGTACTGGCTCTGGAATCAGATAGCTTGGATTCTAATTCTGACTCTGGTTTACTTTGTCTCTAGTGCAGGTCCCTTAACCCTTCCTGGATTGTTTCTTTTAACTGTACAATGGGCATAGTAACAATAACACCTATTAGAGGGCTTCTGTCAGAATTTGCTGACAGGACCCATATAACGGTTAGCACAGTGCCTGGCACACTGTGAATGGCTGTTATTATTACATGTATATTATATGTGCCTTGTTTCCTCAACTTGATTGCAAACTTTGAGAAGGCAGGGACCATCTCTTACAGTTTTCTGGTCCCTTCATCACCTAGCACACTATCTTATAAATTAACAGAGTCGGCCCTGAGATTTAAAACTAAAGGGAAACTCAGGGTTAGATTATAAAGGACCTTGACTATCAGTTTCCCTAGGGCTGCTCTGGACCTGTCTCCCACTCTCGTAGAGCCCCTGAATCCACTTTGAGCTGTGGCAATGGTAGTTCATGGCTATTTCTTAGCCTAATCAAGAGCAGCCAATCCAAATGAGCATCCAGACAATCAGCCAAAGGCCTGAGGCTATATGTAGTGCAACAGAAATTCCAGATGGTCGCGGCATTTAGGAGCTGTTTCTGGCTTTCTTAGGCATTTCTGGCTACTGGGTGGTGTATAATTTCTTTATCTCATCTAAGTTAAATCATGCAGAGTATAATTTATGCCCTCCTTCTTTAGCTCTTCTCATGGTAGAGAGCTAGCTAGCATTTTCCTTATCAAAAGACTTATTGTCACTGAGTAACTTATCAGCAACAAGCTCACAGATAACCCATGGTCAATGTACTGATCTATGTCCTTTAAACATGCTTTCTATGTTTTACTTCTTCAGTTTTTTTATTGAACAGTTTGAGCTATTCCAAAAAAGAACTAAGTTTCATGCTGGTACTTCGTATTTAGAATTTAAACTTAAATTCTGTTTATCAAAATTACCTACCTTCTGGGGTGCCTGGGTGGCTCAGTCGGTTAAGTCGCTGCCTTCGGCTCAGGTCATAATCCCAGGGTCCTGGGATCGAGCCCCGCATCGGGCTCCCTGCTCGGCGGGGAGCCTGCTTCTCCCTCTCCCTCTGCCTGCCTCTCTGCCTACTTGTTCTCTCTCTGTATCTCTCTGCCAAATAAATAAATAAAATCTTTAAAAAAAAATTACCTACCTTCTGTTAGTGAACACTGAGTATAGCAACAATGTTTGGCAAGGCTTGGTTTCTTTATGGATTAATGTGAGAACTGCATTTTAACCTGGTATAATCTAGGAGTTGGAGGCAGGCTTTGAGAATTTAATATTTTCACCATCACTATAAAATATTTGGAAAGTTTGGATAAGGCCTTCCTTCTGGCTCTTCTCATTATTCCCAGTGCCAGTAATATTTCCTCATGTAGCTGGCACTGCAGCTCCCTCTTGGATATTTTTCTTTTCTTTTTTTTTTATAAAGATTTTATTTATTTGACACAGAGAGAGCTAGAGAGAGCTAGAGACAGAGAGCAAGCACAAGCAGGGGGAATGGCAGGCAGGGGAGAAGCAGGCTCCCAGCCGAGCAGGGAGACTGATGTGGGGCCTGGTGTGAGCCCGGGATCATGACCTGAGCCGAAGGCAGCGCTTGACCGACTGAGCCACCCAGGTGCCCCATCCTCTTGGATATTTTTTTTGTCCACTTCCATTCTATCTTAATTTAAAAAATAAATTCCTAAAATTTTTTTAGTTCTATTTTGTCAGTGTACACTTGCAGCTGCACACAAATTTGATTATAAGCTCTATGGTGCTGTGAAAAGCTTGCAATTTTTCCCCCCCAAAATGACAGGCAGTGTAAATTACAAAGTACAAAATAGTGTATGTTAAAGCACTGCCAGCAATAAATAAAAACGGCTTTTTGGGAAGAAATAACTTTGGAAATGAGGGAGAATGAGGCGGGAGGAGGAAACAGTCTACATACACAGTTAGGAAAAAGCCACATTTAGAGGAGCATCTGAGGGATAAGGACAATGGAAACACGAAAGGCATCTTGATCCAAGGCAGTTCTCCAAGGGGTAAGTCACAGAGGGTACTTAGGTTGTGTTAGATTTGCTAGTTTCTTTCCTGAAAGATACTGGACTTTTATTTCCCAAGGACCTCAGCCCACTCCTTCAGCATTGCTGAGTACCTAACTTGTGCTAGGGATCTGCACAGGAAGCAAAGGTGAAAAAGAGCACAGTTTGCCTTCAAGCCTTTCTAGTCTTTAAAACAGAACACCCTAAGAGGTAAGTATAAAGGGCCCTGCTGGAAAAAGAGAAAGCAGCTAGAAGCTTGGAAGAGTCCTCTGGGCTCCACGGAGGAAGTGAGTTGTGGTCCGAAGGACAAACAGAATTTTGTTAGGCTTTTGTATCTTTCAAAAATAAATGATAATGTGAAATAAAGAGATCATCCCGAAAGGAAAGGGTTGGGATGAAGGATGACGTATTATATGGAAGATTTAAAACACATCTAACTGGAGCAGGAACTTAAACACACCAGTCAGGAAAGAGGGGTCTAGATGATAAATGGGTGCTAACTGATTAAACTGACATTCACCCCCGTGCAACGTCTTCTTCAGACTTGCACCTTGCGAAATGTACATCTTGACTGCTGTTCTTGAAAATCTAGTTAGGGGCGGGAAGACAGTGCACCCACTTTCATCAGATTTTGCACACAACATAGAAGGCTACTTTCACGGTTCCAAACCCTTTTCTCCGCTTAGCCTCTGTAGTTTCAAGGGCTGTACGAGGTCTATCTGCAGGGATTTTAGAGGTTTTCCTCATCCTCTTCTGAAGAGAAGTAATAAAAGCATTTAAATTAGCGGGAGGGCGGTTAACACCCGCAGCCCTGGCCCCCACTGCACGCCTCACCGCCCGCGGGGGTTCACTCCGCGCCTGCCTTCGGCTGAGTCCAACAGCGCTAACGGCCGCAGGGCAGCAACGGCTCCCGGGCAGCGCGCGGCGAGCGTTGTGCGCTCGCGACTCGCAGGCCAGCGGCGAGTTCACAAGGCGCAGGGAGGGGGGCGAGGCCGAGCCGTGGGCGGCTCTTGACGAACAGTCCTTCCGGCCAATTGGAAGCCTGGTCGACTTTTCCCCCTGCCAATAGGGAGCAGGACCCAGGCTGAGGGGCGCTTCCCGCGGGCTGCGGCTGGATTCGATCCTGCGGGGCGGCTGCTAAGGCGGGGGCGGAGGCTCGGTCTGGGCGGCGGGGAGCGGATTAGGGGAGGAGGGAAGACCGGAAGCCACGGTCGCGTCCCCATCCTTAGATTCGCTCCCCGGGGCTGGGAGCGGAGACGAAGGAGGAGGCAGAGGCTGAATGTTGGCTCCGTAATAAAGGGGAGCGGCCGCTCCGGAGCCTCCTCCCGGGGCGCCCCCCCTCATCCCGCCCGCTCCCTGCACCCACCCAGCTCCTGGGCGCCTGGCCCCCGAGGCCGGCCCGGCAGCACAGACCTTCGCTGGAGAGACTCGGCCAGTGGCGGGGACTGGCCGGCGGCGTCCGAGGCCCGCGCCCTGCCGCCACCCCCACCCGCTAGCCCGCCGGTCCCTCCGGCCGCCGCCATGTCCTCCTCCTCATCCTCTCCCAGGGAGACGTACGAGGAGGACCGCGAGTACGAGAGCCAGGCCAAGCGCCTCAAGACCGAGGAGGGGGAGATCGACTACTCGGCCGAGGAAGGCGAGAACCGCCGGGAAGCGACGCCCCGGGGCGGGGGCGATGGCGGCGGCGGCGGCGGCCGGAGCTTCTCACAGCCGGTAACAAAGCGCGGCGCCCCGTCCCCTGTGCCTGGCGGCTCCTCGGGAAAGCAGGGCCCAGCGGCGGGAACTCGGCCCCGAGGCCTTCCGCGCGCCCAGTTTCCCTCTGCTGCTTCGCTGACCCGGTCGGGAAGCGCCGGCTCCTCTCTTTAGGGCTTTTATTCTTTGCCCTACCTGTTTCCCGCATCCCGACCGCGAACCCGGCTCCGGCCTGGCTGCAGGCCCCGCGTGCGAGTTGTCTGCCGGCCCCGAACTTGGGGAGGGTAGCCGGGCGGGGGCGGCGGGGCGGCTTTGCTTCCGCTCCGGGGGGGCTTTGGTGCGCGATTAGCTCTTTGTTAGTTTAACTCCTCCGGCGGCTGGCCGGCGTCGTGACGACCCTCTCTCTCCCTTCTGCCCCCGTGCCCGCAGCATCCGCGCGCCCGTCTCGGTCACAGGATGGTTGCGTGGGTTCTGCCGGGGTCTCTCTCCGTCTGGGTCCTGAGCAGAGCCGTAACCGAATGACAAATTGCGCTGTGGCGCTCACACCCTCGTTCCCCTGAAGGTTTAATTTCAGAATTTTTATTCTTGGAAGGCATGGCGTGCCTGCTTTGTCACCCAGTTTTATGATTATTGCTCAGTACAGATTTTAGCTCTTCGATTTAAAAAAGAAAAAGTGTTGGTAGGTGTTAACATCACCCTTATTTTCCAAATAAAACGAATCTTAAAATCACATCAGCTGTTCGTTGACCCTTTATTCCATATTTGCCCCACGAAAGGAGAAACTGAACTCGGAACTGCATTAAACACACATTCCTGCATTCTTGTTGCTCTTATCAGAAATGTGAGCTGGAGGCAGAAGGAATGTGAAAATCGTCTTATCCACAGCGAGTAGTAGTAACTCAGCGTCAGTTGCATGGAGACTTTAAGGAAACAAAGCAAAGCAAAAGTTTTTGCCCTTTTTTGGTGCACTTAAGATGTCTTAATGGCTTAGATGACCTTTAAACATTTATCACATTTTAATTGTGATTTTTTGAAAGGAGGCTTTACCTGAAGTTTAAAAAATTGTACACGTATATTCTACTTAGAATGTTTAGTAAAAGTATTAAGAGGCAAATTATAAGCCTTTTAGCTATTGTTTGAATTTTTATGTAAAAAATTCAGGTCAGTAGTCCCCAGTGTTAAGAGTTTCCAAATATGAAACAGGGACACATAGGTTTCAACACATTAGAAAAGAGGAACTTTTTCTTTCTCTAAATAAATGTTTCCTTATGGGGGCGCCTAGGTGACTCAGTCCTTAAGCGTCTGCCTTTGGCTCAGGTCATGATCCCAGAGTCCTGGGATTGAGCCCCACAAGGGCTCCCTGCTTGGCGGGAGGCCTGCTTTTCCCTCTCCCACTCACCCCTGCTTGTGTTCCCTCTCTCGCTGTCTCTCTCTCTCTCTCTGTCAAATAAATAAGATCTTTAAAAAAAAATTGTTTCCTTATGGCTAGATATGGCTTCTGATTTTTGTGCCTATGTATTTGGAATATTCAAAATGTAGCTTGGGCATGTGAATAAAAGAAATGCATGTTTTCTTAAAGTTTCAGTTCAAAGCCAATTCCACTGTGGAATTTGGAAGCAGGAATACTGTAACTGATATTTTAGATGGAGCCGATGGGTCAGTGTTATTTCTTTTGCCGAAAGTCCTAAGTTTTTTGTGTAGTAGCATGAAATGTCTTCCATTAAGTGTCTTGAAAAGATACTTTAATCTTTTTATGAAAAAATTTTTTGGAAAAATAGATTAGATATTAAGGCAATAGTAGTATTTTGGATGTTGGGAAGAAAATAATGCATAATTAATATATCCAAAGTGAATTGTATCTGGCAGTGGAAATAGCACTGGGCAGGGCTTGGGGAGAGTCAGAAGTCTTAGCTAGCATACAATATGTGCCTTAGGGAAAGTCCGTTAACTACTACTCTTGAGTTCGCTTAGTCTGTAAAATATAAAAGTTGAACCTTTCCATACCTGAAGTTGTAGTTCAGTGATTACTATAATGCAGCTTTTAAATTACCCAAGCAGAAACTACTATATGCAGATGGAGTTATAAATTCTAATTTTTATTTTACTGTTGTTTTGTTTCTTAGGAGAGAGTGAACTGCTTTTATTTAACTGTAGAACCAATACTGCACTGTGAAATCTAATGAAGGTTTATTTTTCCTGTTTTAAACCTTTTTATTCATGTAAATTTTGGTACTATTTTGAAATTATTGCAACTATGGAAACATGTACATAATAAAATTTTATTAGGATAGGCATTCCCTGGATAGAAGTTTAATGTCTAGTGCATCATCAGCCAGAAATATGGTAATTCATCTAACTAAAATGAGTTTGGCTCAACCTCAGTTGTCCTCCAGTCCAGCCAGGGAAGAAATACCTTGTGGTCAAACTGTTAGAACAACAGTAAATGCAGATTAGGTACAATGATAAGCAATCTTTTCAACTCCAGTTGGAGGTTTGTAAGGTGCAAAGTAAGACTTTAAAAATTTATGTTATTTAGCTTTAGATAATTAAGTTTCCACAAGTGCTTTAATAATGTATTAATTAGATTTAAAGAGGAAAGTGAGTATTTAAGAAAAGCAGTGTTGGGGTGCCTGGGTGGCTCAGTCAGTTAAGCGTCTGACTCTTGATTTCCGCCCAGGTCCTGATCTCAGGGTCGTGAGATAAAGCCCCACCTCAGGCTCTGCGCTTAGAGTCTATTTGTCCCTCTCCCTCTGCTCCACCCCTCTTACGTGCTCTCTGTCAAATAAATAAATCTTTTAGAAAAAGAGAAGTAGTGTTTTTACAAATGCCTATTTAAAGAAGAGTTGATCATTGTGAATGATCATGATGTGTTAAGGTGTATAGAGAAATGAGTTAGAAAAAAAGAAATGCGTTAGCAGGTTGGATATGAGAAATAAGACACTCTTCAAATTTATGGCTTCTGGCACTTAATTTGAAGATCAAAAATTCCTAGAGTGTTTCAGATTCACTGGGCTGCATTGTTGAACAAAGCTGGATTATGGAGGTTTGTTCTATGTATTATACAATTTATTCTCATAGAGTGAGTGGTGTTCTTAAATTTAGCAGGACCGGGCGCCTGGGTGGCTCAGTTGGTTAAGCGACTGCCTTCGGCTCAGGTCATGATCCTGGAGTCCCTGGATTGAGTCCCACATCAGGCTCCCTGCTCGGCAGGGAGTCTGCTTCTCCCTCTGACCCTCCCCCTCTCTCATGTGCTCTCTCTCTCTAATAAATAAATAAAATCTTTAAAAAAATAAATAAAATTTAGCAGGACCTTCAAGATCATATTAATGGTAAATTTCTGTATCTGCTTATTTTTAAGAAAGCAGCTTGACTTCCAAATATTAGGGTTTTACTTGGCAAAACCAATTGAGGAATTAAATTGGGAGGTTACATAGAAAAGATCTGCTTTTATAAAGACTGGTATCAATAAAGATTTATGGAGTGCTAATTCATTTTGGAGACTTTCAAGTTTTTCTTTTATTCTATTCTGCCATTGAGTAAACAGGCAAATCGGGTTGTTAAAGTGGTTTGTTTGCTGATGAGGTGAAAATTTAAGTTTCTCAACTTTTAATAAATAGACTTACAAGATGGCAAAATGCCAAGATAAAAGTGTAGCTCCTAAGATTTTCTAATGGTATATATGAGGTAGAGAATCTAGTTTGAATTTAAGATACACTTCTATACTTTTAGGGTCTGAATTACAGAGATGCATAGGGATATTATGATGGCTTATTGGATGAATATGGGATGGGAGATGAGATGAGGTCACTTTGTTAGCTTAACTCCCACAGGAAAAGTTTAGAGGCTGACAGTGAGCATAGTAACTACACCCTGGGCAATAAAAAAGTTAAAGGATGTGTGCCCTGGAGGTAAGTGCCAGCGTCTCGAGGCAATAACGTTCTCTGTCTGCTTTAGCTAAGCTGTTGCAATAGAGTGAGGATTTTCTGGCTTGGCATTAGGAAAGAAGTGAAAAGGAGTAGGTTTTACCATCTTTTGGTTTTAACAAGTCACTGTATTTCTTCGTGTTAGTACATACAGTGAAAAGAGCTGCTAATAGAGCCATAAGCCCAACCAAGGCAGGTGTCTTGGATCTGCTGCCAACATGCTTTGTGACTTAACCTCTCTGGAACTCAACGATCACATGAGAAGGTTGGATTAGATAGATGATCACTGTGATCTCTTAACGCATCGAAAAACAATACTTGAGCCCTTTTTGTGTGCTAGGCGCTGTTCTCAGTGATGGAGATATAAAAGTTTAAAAAAAAATTCCATATCTAAAAATCTGTGATTCTGTATCATTTAGTGCTTTTTTTTTTTGCCTCTATGAATTGAATACAACTTTCAAAGCTTGTAGTTGCAGCCACAGCAACAATTCAGGTGAGCTTAAGCAAAACAAAAAGTTGGCAGAGATAGGGAGTTTATTGGCCCATGTAACTGAGAAAGGCAGATTGTGGCAGTGGTTTCAGGCATGGCTGGATCTAGGGATTTAGATAATGTCATTGAGACTTGATTCTGTATGCTCTATTTCCTCTATGTAGTTATAAAGCTAGACTTACATTCTTCTTTTTTTTTTAAGATTTTTATTATCTGACAGATACACAGCGAGAGAGGGAACACAAGCAGGGGGAGTGGGAGAGGTAGAAGCAGGCTTCCTGAGGAGCGGGGAGCCTGATGCGGGGCTCGATCCCAGTACCTGGGGATCATGACCTGAGCTGAAGGCAGATGCTTAATGACTGAGCCACCCAGGCGCCCCTAGACTTATATTCTTACAGCTAGCAAGTGGAGAACACCATTCTCCCTAGTGTCTGTATGTATCCCTTCTGATCAACACTTTTTATCTTCTCTCTCCCTGCAACTAATCACTGGGCTACCTCTGAAATTGGTCAGGCATGACTGTGTGATTGAGAATACCAGTGGAGTAACAGAGTTCCAGGTGTGTGTGTGTGTGCGTGTATGTGTGTATGTGTTTACTCAGAAGAAGG